GCAAGGGCAAATGCAGCCACATTCTTTGCTAAAATATCACAAGAATGGTCTTTAGGACACTTGCTAACATTCTTCCCTTCTGAAACCTTTTAAGCTGGGTGGACACAGTTTGTCTGTATCACTCTCAGCATTACTGCCTTAAAAGATCCTGCTAATGTTAGGTTCAAAGCAGCGCCCCAAAGGCGAACCATCACAAGCTAGGGCACCTAGAATTCATCCATCTGAACAGCCGGCATCTGCTCAAAGACCCAGCCTTGTTGACTTATACAAAATCTGCTTGCTTTCCCCATTTTGTCCCTATCCCCTAAGACAGCCTTGGCAATTTGAACTCCAACAAACTTTCTTTCTGCCAACGGAGCAGCCTAGTTCAGTGGCCTTACTATACCTCCACTTATAACTAGGATGGCTTGTTAAGCCCTGCTTCAAGCCCTCAACCACTTTTCTAGTTCAGAGCCCCAAAGTCTTCCACATCTCTCCAGCAAACAGCATGGTCAGGTTTGCTGCAGCATTATCCCACCCCTTGGTACCAACTTCTGTCTTAGCTACTGTTCTACTGTTGTGAGGAAACACTATAATGACGGCAACTTTTATTTATTTTTAAAATTTAAAGACCTTATTTATTTATTATGTATACAATTATCTGCATGAATGCTTGCACAACAGAAGAAGGCACCAGATCTCATTACAGAAGGTTGTGAGCCACTATGTGGTTGCTGGGAATTGAACAAAGGTCCTCTGGAAGAACAGCCAGTGTTCTTAACCTCTGAGCCATCTCTCCAGCCTTAAGGCCACTTTTAAAAGAAAGCATTTAACTGGGGCTTGCTTCCAGTTTCTGAGGTTTTAGCTCATGGTTATTGAGGCCGGAAGTAAGGTGGCGGATATGGTGCTAGAGCAGTAGCTGACACCTCACATGATTCGCAAACTGCAGAGAGAGAGAGAGAGGGAGGGAGGGAGAGAGGAAGGAGAGAGAGCAGACGGGGCACAGGCTTTTCAACGAAAATGGCCTCCATGGGCTCATACATTTCAATACTTGGTCCCCAGTGGAACTGTTTGGGAAGTTTTAGGAAATATGGCCTTTTTGGAGGAGCTGCGTCGCTAGGAACAGGATTTGAGGTTTCAAAAGCTCACACCATTCCCAGGTAGCTCTATCTAGCCTGTCTCAAGATGTAAGGGCTCAGCCGCTGCTCCAGCCTGAGCCTGTCTGCTGCGTTGTTCCTGTCCCGTCATGATAGTCATAGGCTCACTCTGAAACTGAAAGCCCCCAATACATTATTCTATAGTTTGCATCTGTCATGGTATCTTCACAGCAAAAGAAGAGTAACTAATACACAACTCAATATGAAAAGTATTCTCTAATCTCCCAATCGTACCACTCTGCATCATTGACTATTGTTATTCTTTTGTGTAAGCTGCAGCTGCAGATATAAAGGAACAAAGGATGAACAATCCACATGGAGTTTATTTACCTGAAGGGGGCGGGGAGATGGAGTTGGGTTGTCAGCCAACCCGAGAGGAGCCAAAGAGAAAGATGGAAGGCTGGACCTTTTAAAGGGAAGGTTGCACATGCGCACTGGGGTTTTGCACATGCGCAGAGTTCTCACGCAGGCCACAATGCATGGTGGGTGATGTGGAGATGACTTAGCAAGTTTTCCAGTGCCTGTCCCACCTGTCGTTAGGGGGGCGGGGTCATCCAGGTGTATTGTTCTTACAACTATGTCCCCCCCTTGCCCCTTGCCTCCCTGCCAGGTTCTGGCAATCTCTGTACTTTCTGTCTCTCCAAATTTGCCTTTGTAGGAAAAGACTATAAATCAAAGGTTGGTAAGCAAGAAACCAGTGTATATGGAAGCAGAGTATCTTACTGGCTTCTTAAGAGAGATGGGCCCACTGTGTGGATGCCTTGATGGTCACTTTGAGTGTAATGCAGCTTAATAGTTACTGTAAATATATGCATATGAATTGTGTGTGTGTGTGTGTGTGTGTGTGTGTATTTTTGAGATAGGGTTTCTCTGTGATGTTGGAGGCTGTCCTGGAACTAGCTCTTGTAGACCAGGCTGGTCTAGAACTCAGAGAGACCCGCCCGCCTCTGCCTCCCGAGTACTGGGATTAAAGGTGTGTGCCACCACCGCCCCGTTAGCTTTTGTGTGTTTATCTATTTCTTTTCTCTTGTGCAAACAGAATAGAGATTAAAAGAACAAACGGCACTATTTATTAAATTATTTGGCTTTTTGAGACAGAATTTCACTCTGTAACGAAGATTGGCCTTGATCCCCCTGCCTCAGGCTTTGAAGTACTGGGATTATTGGGGTATGCTACCATACCTGGCAAACTTCCTAAGACATTAGCAACTGTCTCCAAAGGCAATTGCACCATTTTGTATTTCTATCATTGGCAATCCCCCTGCTATGTCAGTATCGATAGCTATCGTAATAGTTTTTCCTGGTATCTCATTATGGGCTCAATTTACATTACTCTAATGGACAATGACACAGAGTTAGATGTTCCTAGGGTAGGAAGGGATCCTTTCAAAGCTAGAAGATGAATTTGTCTTTCCTCTAGGTTTCCTGGGTTCAGGAGTACTCTTTCATGGTTGAGGGAACAGCAGCCCCTAACACAGCCTTCTTCTCCTCAGAAATAGCCAGAATTTCCCCTAGCACTGCAAATCTGTGCCTCTCCATTTAGACTCAGTTTTACTTCAAAGGAAGGGAAATACAAGATACAGTTATGAATCATTTGGGTTTTCTAAAAATTATTGTGGCAGACATGAGGATGAGGAGCTTTATATTTCTGCCTTTCATCACATCTCTCATATGTATATTTGTATAAATTGGCTTTCTAGAAAATGTCTTCCATGCTCACATTTTATTCCAGAAACTATTATTTCCCCCATTAGCCCTCCCTTCAGTGTTTCTCAGAGCAATTATCCTCCAACTCAATCTTAGCAAATATTCTCTCTAATGTGCCTGAAAAGGATTAATATTCTTCACAGACTATTTCCCAGAACTAAATCCATAAGAAGGTACTATGAGGCATATCTTAATATCATTAGGAGGTAGAATGGAATAAAAGACAGCTAGAAATGAGGTTATTGCAGAGTGAGAGGAGACTGGCTGGTAATGAAGGAGATGAGACAGTATGGAGTAAGCAATGCAATGGAAAGGAGGTTTTAAGGTATGTTCCAGAACTAATGTTCCTTCAGTAGTAATGAGTTTTCACCATCTAATGACTGTGCTTGTTGGGAGCCAAATCTCAGGGCTGGGCATGAGATTCTAGGCCATTCTTGGCTGGCCACATAGTTGTATATTAACCTTTGCATAGGAGCTCCTTAGAACCTCAGCTCAAGAAAAAGACCTAGTCCTCCATCCACAGGCTCCATCACCTAGGCAACCCTCCCTGGACATCTTACTCATAAACTCTTTACCCTGCCAAACATCCTCTTTGTGGCTTCCTAATATCCTGCCTATACTAACACCTAGTGCACAAACAACCCATTCTGCCCCTCCCCATATCCGGACTATATAAGCTAGCCTGAGAAAAGTAGTTTGCCACTTGATCAGAATCCTGTCTTGTGGTCGTTCTTTCTGTGTCTCATATCCCCATTCCCTATCCCTGACTCTCTTGCCCCAGGTTGATGTCCTGCAGGACAGGGCATGTGCTCATCAGTGAAGATTTTGACAGTTTAGTACCATTAACTTTTAAAGTAAGTTCTATTCTTTTATTTAAAAAAATGTATAATAATGTTCAATGTTGGTGATGCGAGAATATTATCTTTCCATGGCTGACATGGAAAATTAAGATACTTGTTTTAGAAAGTATTATTCTGTATCAACAGCTTGTAAGAACAATCCCTACCATGGTCTCTGTTTGTGTTACATATTACTAACTTAATAGTGAGCACATCTCATTTGTAGTGCAAGAAAGATGCAATTTATTGAAATAAACCTAACTCAGTAATGCTGTGGGCTGTTGACTTTTACCACACTTTCATTTTACTGCTTCTTATTACTGTGCGTATGACATGTGTGAGAATGGGTCCAGGTGTGCCATGCTGGCCAAGTAGAGGCTAGAGGAGGACAACTTGTGGGGTTGGTTCTCTCTTTCCACCTTTGCATGTGTTCTGGGGATCAAACTCAGGTCATCTGGCACTGAGCCTTGTTACTGGCCCTGAGCTGTCAATTTTACATACACTGAAGACAATAGAGATAAAATATATTACTGTCAGGAAAAAGTCACTCTGTCTCTGTCTTAACACACACACACACACACACACACACAGAGAGAGAGAGAGAGAGAGAGAGAGGGAGAGAGAGAGAGAGAGAGAGAGAGAGAGAGAGAGAGAGAGAGACTGAAAATATAAAGCAGTCATGAAAGGAAGCTACCTAGGATATTGTGCTACCAATGACAATGGCTCTTTCAGGAATTCCCTTAAAAAAAGACCCTACAACTGACTTTACTCACCCTAAATATTTAATTGTATCAGGAGAGGTAAGTCTTGAGTATTACTGAACAATCACATTTAGGGGAATTAGTGTTTCATCTACTTTACTAGTTGTATTAATAGACCATATTTAAATGTTTGTACCCTTATCATAACAGATAGTAAGAGTGGATTCCAGATAAGGATGACCCAGTGGTGTCGGTACACAACGTTGGTATGGTTAGATAGCACACAAGAAACTACACTTACTATATTAACAATAACCTATATTATAAATAAGTAGCGCAGAACCTGCTGATGTGCCAAGCCTAAGTGTCTTTCCAAAGGTTAGGGGAGCTAATGCAATTTCTGAGGCCATAGAGAACATATCACCAAACCATTTCTTCCTTTTTGTTTTTCAACTTGTGACTTGTTTTCATTTTTAGAGAAAAGCCAACTAGCCCAATGGGGGAGGTCCTTCTGTGTATATGTTTGTCTTATTGGTTGATAAATAAAGCACTGTTGGCCAATAGGGAGGCAGATTAGGCGGGGCTAGGAGAGAAGGATTCTGGGAAATGTAGGAAAGGAGAGAGTTGCCATGTGATCCCAGGAAGAGAGGACACATAAGGCTGTCGCCCTCGGTAAGATAACTCCTTATAAGAATATATAAATTACTAGTTATGGTTGATAATTAAGACTGAGCTAGCAAATAAGAAATCTTAGTCATTGGCCAGCAGCATTGTAACTAATATAAGACTCTGTGTGTTATTTGGGGGCCCTGGAGTGGCGGCAGAACCCTGGCAGCTGGTGGAAACAGTTATAGTTACGCTAGCCTTTACTATAACCACAAAAAATTACCCATTCCCTGAGTGTTGACAAAGACCAATATCCCATCATTTAAACACATGGAAAAAGTTCTGTACTCTAGGGACTATAAAGCCAGCAGAGAGGGCCAAAGAGGCGAAGGTTTTAGATAGTGGTCTATGATGAACGGGGGTCCTTCCCTTGTCCCCTGCTTCTCTGTGCCACAGAAGGGATTGTACACGCAGCTGATGAAGTTCCTTCCATATGCGCACCCTCGTTATGACTGTTTTATCTTTGGGTATTTGAAGTGAGTTAAGAAGAGACAATCTCCTACTCACTACATTTGGAACATAGACATTTGTTGATTATTAGAATAATACCACAAATTGTCAACATGTGTTGGGAAAGTAGTTTGCTATTTTTATTTTTTCTGTTAAAACATTTTTTTACTTTCTTTTTATTTATTCTATGTGTCTTACATCATGTATCTTGATCCCATTCATTTCCCTGTCCCTTCATATCAGCCCCCACCCCCCTCTTATGCCCCCTTGTAATAAAACAAAATTTAAGAGAAAAGGGGAAAAATTATAAATCTCATCATGGAAGCTGCAGTGGTACAGAGAGTCACACAGTAAACCCCTTTGTCCATACAACTTTAGTATTTATTCACTGCAAAATGTGATTGGTCTGGTTTGAGGCCTCTGTGGAGGTCCTGCAGCTTTGGGTCTGCAGGTCAGGTCCCTTCAGGTGCTCCAGCACATCACAGGTGGGGAGGATGTTTGAGTGGGCCAAGTCATAATCCTGGTTCTGGGCCTGGGCTGCTGTCTGGTTGATCAGCCTGCCCGTCCTCCTGTTTTCTGCACCAGGATGAGTTCTCCAGCGTTGCCCTGGCTAGCTCACCTCTTGCGGCAGCGAGCAAGGGGCTGGGGCCATTTCTCCCGCTCTCAGCCTTGGCTCTTCCACACCTTCTGTGTGGCCCAGGTGAGGTAGAGGAGCCACTTTCCCAAGTGCTGCAGCTGAGGAGGAGCAGGGCCAGTTCTCCCCCGCCTATGACCGCAGGGCCAGCTCCTCCATCTGTCTCAGGCATTGATGGGCTGGGGTGAGGGCATCTCTCTCCCACCCAAGCAGCCACATGTCAGATGGGGACAGCTCTCCTTGCTCACAGCATCAGGGCTGGCTCACCCTCACCTGTGACCACTGGGCCAGCTTTCCTGAGTGCTGCAGTAGGTAAGGGACAAGGGCTAATCGGTGAGCCTTTTTCCCCCTCTAACACTGCCACAAGACACATTAGTGGGGACAGCTCGCCTTCACTTACAACTTTGGAGCTGGCTCACCCTCACCTCTGTCAACAGGGTTGGCTCTACTCTGTTGCCCAGCTGAGGTGCAGGGCCTGCTCTGGTGACCTCAGGGCCAGTTCTCCCACCTACCTCAGGCGTTGAGTGATGGGGGGGGGGCAACTCTCCCCTGCCCAATGCATAGCTTGCTAATTTTGCGTCACTGAAATAGTTTTAATTATCTGGCCTTGGGCTATTGTTAGTAATTTAAAAGCTGTGTAATGAGAAACCCAAATGTTATTAAACTCCAGGAGAAAATGAATGAGATTGGTTAGGGAACCCTAGATAGGTTAATTTGCACCACTTGAAAATGAGAAGATGAAATGGTGAGACTCAGATGGACACCGACGTGAGGGAACGGAAGCAGTGGATCTTTGTGTTGTATTAGTTTCCTTTCAGAGGAAGACAAATAGGCATCTGCAGCAAACGAAGTGCAATACCCTCCACCTTTGCCTGAATTAGCCCGGGAACATGTGTGAGATTTGCAGGGCAACAAATCATGCACAGTAAGTCCTGCTTAGCTGTTCCCTTGTATGCAACGGGTAATTATTTGCTTTCTCCTATTAAAACTATGTTTTGGATTCCACAGGAATATCTGGACATGTTTCCTATCACTTCAAAAAACAAGTCCTGGAAACATGGCGATTCAAGCAAGTCCTGGGTCCCGCTTGTAGGTCTGCAAGTCACAAGTCCTGCTTGGGTCCAGCTGTATTCTCTGTTTCTTAGATTTTCATCAGGCTGACCTCCAGGTGTCAGTCAGCTAGGGACTCCTCCCAGAGGCCACCCACAGTTTCTCCCCACAAAATCTTCTCAAGGCCAACAGGAAAGTCTCTGCAGCTTGGTTGAATCTCCCTTACCTCTCCATGGTTCACTCTGGACCTCCTTTTATGTGGTCCACCTAGTTAGATCAGACTCATGGAAGATACGCAGCCTTTAACGTCCAGCTGGTTAACAGTCGCAGGCACTGATTACTCTCGAGTAAACAAAGTAGGGTTTAATTTATTACCTACAACAGGCACCGTGACTGCAGGTAATGGTGTGAAGGAGTTCTACGGGGCAGTTCAGCAGGGTGACAGAGAGGAGGTCTTGTGAAAGGGACATCTGGGCTGAGACCAGAAAGAGGAGAAGGAAGAACAGTCTAGGTGGCAGCTAGTGTCCGAAACAAATTCAAGAATAGGTTGTCTTCCTAGGGAGAATTTTTAAAAAAATTTGTTTGTTCTAGCATCTCTGGATACCTGGTGTATTCCATGACTTCCAGATGCAGAAGGTAGTATCCTTGGCCGTCGACAAGGGCCCTCCATGCCCCTCCCTTCCCTCAACTACAACTGGTAGGATTGATGGCACACGAAGTGTACTCTTGGATCACTGCTATGTTTGAGCAATGCATCACAACCATTACCCAGCTGCATGCACTAAAATGCCTTTCCATACATGGGTAAGTTTTGCAGGCAAACGTGGACTTAAAAGTCAGTATATTCTTAAACAAGAAACAAAAGGCTGTTATTGCTTGTCTTTTGACATGATCTTGCTATTACAGGTGCGTGTTACCCTGGAAAACTGAAGGCTTTTATTTCAAATTGGTTTACTTTGAAGTTTTCTTTGGTGCACATCCTACTATGCCATAAGAGAAGTCTATTCCAGGTTGGGATACTGCTCACATTTGCAAGCATTTCAGCACACTAAGCTGCATTGACAGAAACTCATGAACATGCAAGTAGTGAATTTTGTGTTTGTTTCCTTCCTGCCTATCAATGTCTTCCTTCTACTTGATTAATAAATCGTTCAGCAATACCTGAAAACCTACATCAGGAATGTGCTCAGCACCGTCTCACTTCCTTATCCCTGGGATGCTTTCATTCATCCAAGGCCTTTCCTCCCATCCTCTGAACAATCTGCTAGTTTTCCTACTAATTTCCTGTTCATATTCTCTAGTTCTACATAGCCACCAAATCACCTTCCTGAAAACTGAAAAAAGAAACTTTTTTTTTCCTCCTGCATGTCCTTTACATTCCAGTGGAACAGAGTTGGCCAAGAGCAAATAAACAAATACCAAACTTAGAAAACCAACTACCAAACTTCCAGACAGAAGACATGTGACAAGGAATCATAAAAAAAAAAAAAAAAGGAAAAGAGCCAAGAATGGTGGCATAAACTTTTAATCCCAGCACTCGGGAGACAGAAGCAGGTGAATCTCTGTGCGTTCAAGGTCAGCCTGGTCTACAGAGTGAGTTCCAGGACAGCCAGGGCAATTAAACAGAGAAACCCTGTCTGAAAAGAAAAAACAAAAACAAAACAAGGCAGGCTAAGGACAGAGAGGGAGTGGTTTTAGATACACTGGTGACATGAATGTTATTATCCCAGCTAAAATCAAACCTGGTCAAATACACTTGGGTTTAATGTCTTGAGACACTGCAGTGACTCTTACTAGGAGAGCATTGGGGAAGCTTCAGACTCTGGCTTGGAAGGTGATTCTGAAAGCTAGTTAGAGGACATCAGAAAGCAGAAGAGTCTCTGAATGGGCATTTTGACATGTTCTATGTAGAAGACAAGAACACTGTAAGTGGTCAGGACACATGCTGTCTAGAGACGAGAACAGGGCAACACTGTCATTGTAAATGGCCAGAAAACAGGAGTCACTTACACTAGCTAAAATGTTCTGCTTTGTGGTTTAGAAAACCCGAATATTAGAGTGTGTTATGCCTGTCACCATAAAGGCCAATGGGCAGAGTTAGGAATGAAATGTTAAGTTGCACTTGGCTCAGAGTCAGCGATCTGAGAGGGCAGCAGACACATACCTTGGAAGAAATACTGCCACATCTCTCTGGCCAGCAGATTACACAGGTGAAGGATGGGGACACAGACATTCATTTAGGAATCTTGTTTTGTCCCTCTTGACAGCCAGATTTGAGCCTTGTGATGTCGGTATCTCTCATTATCACCCCTTGTGTTCTTCTCTCATTTTATGGGCATCTGGCTCCAGACACTTTTTGAAATACTCAATTTTATGTGTCTTGGGCATCAACCTTGTACTCCTTCCTCTACAGGTCTCTGGGCTGGGGGCAGGGATTAACTCAGAACAAGTCATTAGCAGTGACTAAAAAGCTAGTAGAAGCATGTGTGAGCAGAGTCCTTTCTACAATATTAGTTACAGATGTGCCCTTGTAATACAGAATACAAGGTGCTTCTTTCTATTCATCCCTCCTGCCCACTACAAGTCTGGAGGACGCTCCTGTGTTTGACCTATTCAGACATGACTGTGGAGGGTTCTTTCCTTCACCTTCTCGTCACCATGACCACAGCGGTCATACCTGACATTGATGTTTGGTGACTGTTTATGCCCAAGAGAATATGTGACTTAGCTGACAATGCTAGGCCAGATGCTGATAGGACCAGCAAGAGATAGCTGAAAGAGCCAGTCTCTTCTCTGTCTATGCAGGATTATGGGTTTACCAGTTTTTCTTTAATAATCAGCTGCCAAAATGGTCTCTAAGTATAATTTATAACTCTTGCTCATAGTTTTATTTCTTGAAAATTTATCTATACTACTCTTTAGGGTAGTGAGTTCCTACAGTTTCGGTGACTGTGTCAGTTACGTCTCCATGGCTTTGATAAAAACACCATGAACGATGCACACCCTAGAAGAGTTTATTTGGGCTTACAGTCTCAGGAGGGTCAGAGTCCTGGATGGCAAGGTGCAGGCATGGCACCAAAGCTGGAAGCCAGGGGCTTATATGTTGAACAACAAGCTGGAAGCAGAGAGTGTAAACCGGAACTCTGCAAAGTTCTGAAATCTCAAAGCCTGCCCCATACCTCTTCCCTCAAGCTTCTAAGTCTGAAATCTACCCACACAGCACCAGCTGGGGTCCAAGTATTCAAATGTTCGAAACTACGGGAGGCATTTATCATTCAAACCACAGCAATTCAGTGCCTCACACACCTATTTTTAAGAGTGTCTGTAGCCTAGGCATGCCTTCAACAGTAGCAATTTCCTGCCTCATCCTCCTCAGTGCTGGGATTACAGGTGTGAACCCTGAGCTGGGGTGGAGTTAAGTGGTGATGCCAAGCTTAGAGGAGTTTCTTTTTTATTTTTTTGTCAAGAAGATCTAAGTAGGTGGAGGGAGGTGGTGAGAGCAGACAGAAAATTCCTTAACTACCCAACACAGATAGTTATCATCATAGGCAGAGTGCAACCACTAGACCAACGACAATCTACAATGCTGACTGGCTCAGGAATTGCAATAAAATACCTACTGTAAATTTCAGAAACTTCGAAAGCCTCAGACTCATCTGCCCAACTCATTTTTAAAAATAGGAAGCTGGAGTTAGAGTACACATGGACTCTGATGGGTCTGCATGATGCCAGGACTAGCTAAAATCAGGAAGACACTCTTGGGTTCTAACTCCACAGTGTGATTCAACACAGTTGAGATTCATTCATATTCTATTTTAATTCATGAGTAGTGTTGCACTGGATGAATATTCCAACGTACTCATTCTCCCACTGAGGGACATCTGGGACACCCTCTAGGTTTTTGCTCTCCCACGAACAGTTGCAATTAGCATTTCTGCACAAGTCTCTTTGTAGACAGAGGGTTTTACTTCTCTTGGCTAACACAGCATGTGGGGCTGATGGGTCAAAGGGTTGGTCTGTGTTTGACATGAAACGGACAGGGCTGTACCCTCCAACAGTTTTACAACAGCTTCTTTTGCTCAAAGAGTAGCCAAGCGGAGACAGCAAAGGATCGGTAAGGCCTTAACTTGGCCTCTCACCAGGGAAGCTCTGGGGTCCTGGAGGACGCCCCTCCCCCATCACCCACTATGGCCATGTGGGTGATCTCTCTAGGGAAAAGGACAGCAGGCAGCGCATTCGATCGCAACAGTTGTCTGAATCTCTTTGACAAATCTTTGTCTCCCTGTTTCTTGAAATTCCGCTTCATTGCGCGCAAGCCCCGGAAGTGGGATTTCTGAATATGAAGACTTGAAAGGGCGGTTTCTGAAAAAGAGACCATGGCTTGCAAAAATCTGGTGGTATGTCTGGGTGGCGCCACGTCCCCAACCATGTCCTTGGCAGCTCCTAAAGACACCCAGTTTTCTTGAGCCAGGTAGTGGGGTTGCATTTAATGGAAAGTAGAAATTGCCAGAAACAGGATGCACCCGCCTTCTTTCTAACCTTTAGTTTCCTTTCCGCCTCCTCCGGGGTCACAAGGAAGACATTCCTCCTCAAGTCTCTCCTTCTCCTCTTCACTTCCACTGACCGGCCACTTTATACTCGTTACTATGGTTTGAAATTTGCCAGTGCAAGAGTATGGGTGCCACATTGCTAAGAAGCAGGTCCTTTAAGAGGTGATGAGGACATTGGAGTTGTGCCCTCAGGAAAGGAGTGTCACCACAAGAGTGGGTCTCTCATAAAAGCCACCGTCTCTTGCCCTGCCACTTAGCTGACACTACGTGATGTCACTCCCCTTTCCAAAGCCCCCCAGAACCCAAAGCCAGATAAACTACTGTTTATAACCAGTCGATAGCATTGCTACAGCAGCAGAAGAGACTAAGGCAGCCTTCCCCACCTTCTCCCCTGTGAAAGCCAACCGCTCACTACCCTATCAGCCCAGCAGCGGTGTAATTTAAGATTTCTACAGGGTCAACTTTGCCACCGAAGTCTGTCCTGTGGGCACCGCACTGACCTCCACAGAGTGGACGGACTGGGTTTCCAAGTGTCGACAGTAAGAGCGAGCTTGAAGCCCAGAAGGAGTCTGAGAAACCACCTTGCAGTGTGTGTGGGTAACTTCATCCTGCGGCTGTGAGCAGTGAGCAACAGGTCCCTAGACGAAAGAGCAGGAGCGCTGGCGTGCCGCACCACCCTCCCGACAGACCGCACTGGCTCTCCACCGCTTCCCGAGGGGCCTCATTTTCCCAGTCAGGGCTGAGGGGG